AGAAATAGTAGTTTTCCTACGAGTTTGAAAAGTCTTTGTTTGCGAACCGAGAGGTTTGCGGCCCGAGCCGAAGGCGAGGGACGTAACGAGGTTCGTAAAGGAGACTTTTCGAGCGAGTATCGGAAAACTGCTTTTTTGCCCGAGGAAGTACCAGCCTCCCAAAACCACCCGAGGGTGGAAAATATTATTTACCGACAAGATACAGATCTTCAAGTCTATTAGGTGGCTACGCAAAAATCTTTGTTTTCAATTTTAGTTTTTGTCCAACTCTTTTTAAAAAAATCTCAAACTCACATAATTGTGCGCAAACCCATTTCTACATTTTTTATTTATTTGATAAATGAATCAATATTATTTTGATTTATAAATTGAAGCAGTCTGCTTTCAATAGGTAACATTTTTACTTAGATGACAAAACGTTTGCCCTAAAAATTAATTTCAGAACGCATAATTCCAAAAAAACATCCTCCTGCATCAACGACAAGAATCTCGAGCACTAACATTTCTGTACAATACGCTGGTAATCGAATGAACGGAAGCTTTCGAAACTTCACGCCAGGCCAAGCAAAGAGCTGTTTGTATCTTAATCAGAATCAAATATCAAGATCTCAACATTCAATGGAATCGGATCAGGTAACAATATTTATATATGTATTTCCCTTTTTTTCTGACGATTTTTTAATATATCCTTATAATTTTTCAAAGCGAGCAGTTTTTTACTCTCATACAAATTTAGTGCATGCATACAGTATGTTTTGATACTGTTACCGATTCATTAAACTGCTATATTAAGCTAATGAATTTTAGCAATGCTTTATACATAGAATTTTTTATCGAAAAAAATAAAATCGATTGTTGCTTTGCTTGTTCATTTTGGATAATTTCAATGAAAGTCTTAAATACAGATATTATGACCGAAAATTACATACGGCACCCCAGTCCATGGGGGGAGGGGGGATGCCAGTGGCATTGAATCTGCGAAGTTCATAGATATCTTTGAATATCTTAAGAGTTAAGTATTTTATGTAGCAACATGGCAAAATCTGCTTCTCAATTTAACTTGGCAAAACTTTCCATGCCACAGTCGACGCTCGTGCTTTGAAGCTAAATAATTATACAGATGTGTACTTACATAAAATCTTTTTCGTGTAGTCTATTGTAGTGCTAATCCCTAGTATTGGGATCGAATTAGCTGAACTGTTGGTAATTTTTTGTAAAATTCGGATTAGCTCAAAAAAAAATGTGTTGAAGTGAATTAAACAATGCCGGTCGGTTGTAATAAAATCTAACAAAGAATGTTTTTCGCTCAAGCTTAAATAAAATAGCAAAAATGGTAAAACACGCTTCTTAGCAAAAAGAATACGTGCCAAAAAAGTGAACAAAAGAAGCTCCAGTTAATCCCAATTTAGTCCAGTGATTTCCCTGCAAAATGCAAAAACCTCGGTTTTTGAGCCACTATTAAAAAATTAATAACTCTCTTTTGCATAAACAGTAAGGACTGAAATTTGTCAGAGTCTTAGCTTTAGTAATCTTCAATAACCACACCAAGTTTCAGCAAGATCAGATGGATAGTTCTTGCAAACCACAGCTAAATGCAAAAAAAGGTACTTTGGTGAAACGGCTTATAAACCATTTTTTGGTGTTATAAATATAATAATATATCACCCGTGGAAAAATGGGCACACCTGTATCGGAGGTATGAAAAAAAACCATTTTTGTTATTCGTAAAATGTCGTCGAGGCCAAGGTTAAAGACGTCAAACCAACAACATAAAATTCAAATTTATTAACCACAATTTTAATTCTGATGCTGATATTTGTTCAGTGGTACTTATATAACGTGCTATAATTAATCCAAAGAGCTTTTTTACTTCGGTGTCACCAAATTGTTACAATTGTAAACGACAATACAAACATTGAGACCCACGGGTAATCTGGCACTGATTAAGTACGACCGTTTTCTTAGTTTACGCTCAGCTCCTAGAAATATCGGTCGAAGCACAAGAGTGTTTGAGCTGCTTGATATAAGATTTTGTTAACTGAAGTACGGTATGTATAGCTGTCCCTAGCATATGCCATAGGTAGTTGAGATTCTGGGAGGGGGAATAGATATATTCCTAAGGACTGGAGGCATGAGGCTACCGAAGGTAATACTAGGTATTATGTAAAAATACAAGGTGTGGCGTTCCGAGGTTTCATTTTCGTGCCATTCTGCGCCTTCCATCACGACGCCATATTTGAGGGAGATGTGACTACTACAGTGCCGAAGAGCTTGTACAATGAAACGAAATGGCCAAAGTTAAAACTAAAACCTATCCCCCGCATCCACCTCGAAGTGAGAGACATATATATAGATATGGACATCCATATGAATATACATGTACGTCAATTGATGAATGATTACCTATTTAGTTAGTTTTTTCTGTGTAAATATTCATGAATTGTACGTTTGGTCACTGAAACAACTAGAATGAAAATATTGAAATAAAAAATATTTTTTCACAAGTTTCTTGATGTCAATATGCTTTATATTTTAAAAGCTTTTGAAATTCGCAGACAGACATGGTGGCGTGATGGAAGCGTTCCTGATTGGTCAATCAAAATGGATGCGCAACGCCACACCTTATATTTTTACATCATGATACTAGGTTTACCTTGAACACCCCTCGTATACCATGCTACTGTGAATGTGGCCGTACGGATGGAATAGTAGAATAGGATAGGGGAAGGTAGAATAAATGTTCAAGAAAAAGGGAGCAAGACTAATAGTCATAGAGATAATGGTAGTAGTAGAGTAGTGTTGATGGAGAGAACAAGAGCGTGAGAGAAAGAGCAAGAGTGCAGGGAAACCTTGAGCCAGCGTCAAGACTTGTGGAGACGTAAGATATCAAAAAATTATGGGGCCGTAACAGGGGCCAGATCCGGTAATATTGTAATACGGACTGAGTGTGAGAGTCGGTAACACTACCTGCAAGTGAAGTTCGATCGTCATTATATGATGAACCTGGAATCTCGTTTGAAGAGATCACGTTGTAGTAGCCCTGTTGTTCACTAGAGGTCACAACTTTACAGCCTAAAAAAATAAAAAGATACATAGCTGCCGTCTCTGTCATTATTTAGCTTTCTTCAATAATTTAGAGATTAGTTAAAGTTGCGAAAACTGAGGGGTTTGCGTACATATATTGCAACGGCCCACTTTTGTTGAGGGTGGTTCGAGGCTAAATAATGGCGGACACAGGAGTTTAGGGTAGAGGCAACTGAATAATGTCAAAACTCAATGGGATTTTGGTTAGCTTCGCAATTTTTATTCAAACTTAAACGACAAACGAAAAACAAAATATGCATCGTATTCTCAGCTTCAATGCTCGATTATTTATTTCAATAATCAATATTCATTTCCAATGGTTTGCAGAACAATAATTAACGCAAAATAAAATAAACTTTGTGTGTTTCAAGAATTAAAGAAAAAGTTATACAAATAAAAAACTTTTTTGTATTCACCAAATAAATTTATGAAAGGTCATCGCATGATCGGATAAAGTAATCAAAATTCAGACTTAAAAAAATTATAACAAAGAATCGCACCACCTTGGATTACGAGAAAAAATGTATAATTGATTCATGAACACTTTTGTGGAATCTTCCCGATATATCGCCGTTCGCCACTACGTAACCCTTCTCGGTCAAACTTGTTTTTCTTAAAGTTAGGCTTACAAACTATTCACTAACGAGAAGTCAAAACACAACTCTATTAACACAAAAACAAAAAATAGTAAAGGGTAAGGTAATTATACGTCTAAAATTATTATAGATTAAAGTAATATCATCGAAATGCACCGCGGCTCATACTTTACAGTTTTGATATATCAAAACTGTATATTCAAATCAAAAGAAAAGAAGAATACAGAGGCAGCGTACACATACAGTCCGTGCCACTGTGCAGACCACAACACGAGAGCGTCGTTTACCCAATCAAAAACTCATCAAAACAAAAATAAAAATGATTCCCAACAAACGAAAACTCCCCAAGGATGATAAAAAAGCGGTCGGAAGGTCACCTCTCGGTTGACTAAACAGCCGGAAATTTCAACCTGCCAACTAAATGATCTCAGTAAGTGAGATCAACGCTTATCATTCACCATTCAAAAAATAGAAAAAGTACTCCACTCCTACCAACGACTCGAATAATAATTTCCAGGAAAACGCGACGTCTGATAAAAAAAATACAAGGAAACACCGGGGACCCTCCTCCAAGTCAAACCACTGCGCACCGAGAAACTTAATACACAAAGAAAATAGCCCTCCTTTGTTACTGGTCGCCGACTCAGGACCACCACTTGGTTGAATCAATTAAGCAGCCAGGGAGACTTTCTGTCCTGAGTCTGAACTCATCAACAAAAGTTGATGTGAAGACGATGCCAGAATACAAAGGAAAGATCTGCCGATCGTGCAGCAGTGTGTAGTGATTGCCGTTAGCTTCTTTTGAAGAGTTCCGGCGGCTGACAAGAAGTGCTGGCTGTCCCACACGGGTCCCTCGTTGATCCCTGTGTCGTCCCCTTGGGCTTACCTACTCGAACTGCCTACCCGAGCTCTCTTTAGCGAGCTCCTCTCCAGCGAGACCCTACTCCGGAACCACTACCAAACGCCACCGTCATAATGCGCGTTCCTTACCAACTCAATTCTCGCGCATTCCCCATACTAAATTGTCCCCCAACGCTCTCGTGCACACACACACATAAGGCACCCCTATATGTGTACTCTCAATATATATATACAAACCAAGGAAAAGCTACTGCATGAGCTCTGTCGATAACCACGCAAACAAATTCATAATTTGCTAACTGTTACATAATAACTGCATTAATTTAGTNTAATATATGTAAGTTTATAAAAATCATGGGTGGGACCGTGATCTCTTCGAACGGCGTTTTATCGTATAATTACGATTGAACTTTACTTACAGGTTTATTCGTTTGATCTTCAATTATTCTTTTCTCACCTCGTTCTCAAGATCTTCAGGGCTTAGCCCAAGTTTTACTCTTAGAGATATATAAGTTGTACAATACTTTTAATAATTTTATTGAATGATAAAAAATGTACAAAAATAGTTTAAATACACGGATTTACACGGAAATTTAGTCACTTTTAAGGCTAAGCCATAGTTGTCTGGTACAATCAGTCTGTTATAAAATTTAGCGAACACTTGTGACTTCTCCGTCCACTCTGCTGTTCTCTTAATTAAATTTATACTAATGCTAGCTTCAAAGGCTGCGCTGATGCGGACATATGTCTTGTAGAATGACTATTGTAAACATAGAGGTGTCTCCACCACTTTTGAACAGAACGTTTTTAATCTATCTTACTAATATATAAAGCAAAGTCGCTAAAACCGTTGTAATCGCTAACCGCGAAAACTACTGAACCGATTTTGCTGAAATTTTGCATACCTATTCTTGACACTTCCTAGATGGTTTTAGTATGGTTTCTATCTTGAAAAATTAAATAACAATAGCAATAAATAAGCTCAAAGTTTTGCAAAAATACGCCAGCTTTTCACTTTAGATCAGTAGAATCTGCTAGGTGGTGTCGACATAAAATCGAAGCTATCTGCAACAGAATTGAATAAGTGTGGTTATAATACGCCGGAGCATCTCGAAGTAAGATACAGTCGTTCTCCGGCAGTTCATCGAGCTGCATCGAGAATGTACATGATCGACGTGCAGCTGGGCATCCCGGTTACCTACGACGCTCTTCTTCAATGGGAAAGTGATCTAGGTCTACTATCACCCTGAACTTCCAGGATTGACGAGTGCCACCAATGAAAAATTTATTCTACCCGATGACGTCTCCGGGGGAATACCAAGAGACGTGTCTAGCTAGATCATATCCTGCTCCAACCTTTCAGAGTTATGTGGCCGTACCACAATCTGGCCTCGTGCCTTCAGAGAAGTTTATACTATAAATGTAAGCCAGGGAAAACAGCCCTGAGAGGCATAGGCAGCCATAACGGCTTCCTTCTCAGTGGTCATGTCCCCAACGGCATCCCCAAATTTCCCCGACTAACGATGAGCGGTTGGTGATCCAGAGAACAACCCAAAGATGAGATATTTTTTGATCAGCGGTGTACCTCCCTCATGTACCAGCGGTGGCTCTCCATCATCAAGAATAATAATAAGGAATGACTGGAAATTGTACCACTGGCCCTTTTCAGGGCCAATGTTAGCTTTTACGTTCTCTACTTGACCATCAATCTCATCGGTTCTTTTTAGAGGCTACCTAAGTGTAAACTACCTTGCCAACAAATACATGTTTACTACCATTTCTGAAAGCGGTTCGTCGACTAAAAGACTATATATAAAGACCGCCACTATTAAACCAAGTCAGTCATTAACTGGCAGACGTCACGAGCAGAATTGTTCGTCGCAAGGCTGGGAACCCTGGTGCCCAACAACCCTATATTACCCTCTCTACTCTAAGCATTCAACCAGGAATCACCTATCCTGTACAAGGTCAGCGCTGGGTGAACCTAACAGCTATGAAGGAAAAAAAACTTGAGCCAACGAGAGTCTCCAATGGGCAAGCATTACGAACCAATCTCTACTAATCTCTCCACCTTAGATCATCAAAACAACTGAGTCTGCAAAAAAAAAGGTGCTTTGGACACCAACGTTTTCGACGTTATATCAGGACGTTAGGAAAGAGCACTACAACTAGCTCCAAAGCTTCGGACTTTGTAATTTTTCTCCCAATCAGTCTGGGGCTTCAACAGCAGGCCAGAGAAGATTATCCTGAGGTATCCAGGCAGTCACAATTGCTGTTAACTTCAGTCAAGAAAGAGTATAGTTATAAAGTTCACCGGTCTTTTTTAGGGCCATCGGACATTGAACTACCTTGCCAACAAATATATTAGAACTTAACAAAGTTGACAGAAAACAGCCTTAAAGGGTCACAAAAGTCGTAAGTATGCTAATAGTCGCAACAGGGTATATTGGAAAGAAAACTTTAAATGTATCTTATAAATACAATTTGAGGCGTCAAGAAACTGACGCAGAAAATTTATCAAAATTGGAACAGCCAAAATAGCCAAATAAAGAATCCATTACGTGAGAGATCAGCTTTTCATTTTGCCCTCACAGTAATCTCTTAAATCTCTTAGTTTTTTAAATAAGTAGAAAATATATTTGTATTTTTGTGGCAGTAAAAAATGTAGAGATTAAGCTCCAGGACTTTGTTGCTCTGGTAATAAAGTTGTGAGATAAGAGAAAAAAAATTTTTTTTAATGCATATTTTCTGGGAGTTTAAAATCTTAACAGCTTTAAAAAATAGCCCTTTTTGTAAATTATACGGGAGAAACTGCAAATCAATCGCTTCTTATGGCCAACGATTATTTTATGGCATAAGGAACGCATGGTACTTTTCAGCATAAATATAATTATTTAATTTTTACACCATATTATTTGACCAAATAAACTGTATCGATTCCGAATAAACATGTTTTTAATAAGAAGATTTTTGTTCTGAGAAGTGTCAGAAATAGATGTAAAATTTTTAACCGAAAACGTTTCATATTACATGTCAACACACTATGGTGTTCCATTTTGTAAGTCTCGGGCGAAGCCGAGACGGGGGGCTGCTAGTCTACTAATACTTCGGAAAGTAACAGGCCTATGTGGTTTCCTAAGAGTAATAAAGAGTCTCTGTCTCTTAGTCCCCCTTAACTCTTTTGTAGCTGATAAATAGCACTCAAGTACTAAACGGTACTAAAGCTTCTTATACACTAGGTTCTTCTACAAATCTAGGTAAAACTAGATGGGGTTGGAATCGATCTGACCCAGAGGACTTTATTTTTTCAGCAATCTTAATTTCCTAATCCTTAGGGGTACTACATATATTGGACACTTTAATCTTTGATAATATTAAGGCTTAAAGAATATTCTAAATCCAATTATTCTAAAGGGTCAAGGGGTTTTAGGTAAGAGAAAACTATGGAAACATCCCAAGTACGAGAGTATTTTAATTTGGCTGGACGCATTGCAAAAGTTCTCTCAAAAAGTCTTGAGATCAAGGGGTTTCCATAGAAGAATTTGAAAAAAATGAGAACTATTCTAACACATAGTAAGTATTCTAACACATAGACAACTAACACATGGGGTTTTCAGTACGTCTTAGTATATTTATATTTTATGTGAGTGCGTGCGCGTCGTAATACATATATATACAAAATATACGAGAGTACCACATGAAATGGAAAGCACCCCTAGTGGTAAAATAGCCTCCATAAAACTGCCGATCTAGATGAATTCAAAGGTCTATAAATATGTCCTTTATTCAACTGATTAGTTAAAAAATTTAACAAACTCTTCCTGTCTGGGTTAAAACGATATAGCTGCTTAGAAGTACAAAATATACACCATGACCTAAGAGCAATTCCATTTTGCTTTATTGTAGAGGCTAGCAAGGCAAATGAGATTTCAATAGGTTCTAAGGGTTTGCTCCTTCTTAAAAAGGCTTCGTAAATAGTTTGCCTGCAATCAAACGAGATGACTCGACTGTCGATTGCATCCTAGACCTACAAGGAGATAGCAAAAGATCATGAGCAGGCCCTAAGAACACTTTTTTTCTATCAACAACTTATAAAAGAGAGGGAACCACGGCTGATTAGGTCAAAAGGGTACTACTGAGATATCAGAGGCTTCGTTGTGCCTATCTTAACCAAAGTCTTCAAGATTATACTGAATGGAGGAAAAGCATGAAAATCAATATTTGATCAGCTTATAATAAAAGCACTGACTAAAGAGGTTTGTGGATCCGATCAGTGGGAGAAAAACACATCATATTTTTTTTGTTATACGCAATAAATACACTGTTAGATGTCCAAACACGCGTATAATCTTATCAAAATACATCTTATTTAACTCTCATTCCGTATCGACATTTGTGAGCCTAGAAAGTATATCTGCTACTTCATTTCCTGACGAAGCTATACATGAAGGAAAAAGAAAAATGTTTATCTGTTCGGCCCAAGACATTCTCTGTTTTGATAAAGAATTAAACTTGGGGTACTCAACCCCGCCCATTTTATTAACATAACTAAGCAATAGCTGTAATATTATGAATTCTTAGAAGAATTTGACAATTAGAAACACCCACAGTTAAACCCTCAAGAGAAAATTTTGCAGCAAGTAATTCTTTCAAGTTAATATGCTGTGGTTTTAAACTATCACTCCAAAATCCATGAATTTCTTTATTAATTGCCATTCGTAGTTGAAGGATTTAAACTTATCGCAAGAAGCTGGTAATTTATCTCTTCACCAAATCAGATCTGGTCTTATCGAAGCTGGAATTGCCATTGTCTTATCGAAATTAAAACCATTCTTATTTAAGGCTAAATTTTTTTTTCCAGTGATTTCAAGTGTACAAACCCAAACTCCACTGCTGAAGTTGCTGCTACTAGTTTACCAATAACCAAAGTAAAAAATCTAATTTTGCAAGAGCTTGCTAATAAGATCTAATTTATTAAATTAATTAGCTTATTTTTTCTAACCTTTAATCGTAAACCTTTGGCACAAGATAATACAATGCAGGCTGTTGAAGTTTAAAGACGCTCCATTGGAAATAGGTTGCTTGGGAGTTTTGACTTTTTCTTCTAACTTTTTACCAAATAGCCTCTTGTCTGCTTTCGTCTCATGTTCCAATAAGGATCTGATATCCTTTTCCAGGTCCATTCATATAAACGCTCTATGAATTTTGTTTTGACTCAATAAAAGATCTGACAATAACTTGTCTGCGTCACTCAACTTCTGTATGCAGTCTAATTTGTCGATACTATCTTCTTCGATAATGAAATCTGACAACACTCCTCTCAAGGCGTGTAATGCTTCGATGGCTGAGAGCTATCTGATCTTGAGAACGAGGTGAGACTGGTGAGAGAAGTATAATAGTCTCATGCAGTAGTAGAGTGTGTAAGAGAGAGCGAGAGAGAGAGAGAGAGAAATACAGCTCGTGTGCAGAGAGTGGGGAGCAGAGGCACTCCATGGGAGGGAGTAGTTGTCGGTCTTCTTTATTCTCTCGTTTTTTCGTAACATTACATTTTTTTCACGGCTACGTCCCTGCGCTGAACCTGGCACAAGGAACTTCGTTTAAAAAAAATATTTTTTTTGTCAGGAAACTTATCTTGTGAAGCGTTTTGTATTGACAACAAATACGTTAACTGTCACCTCTGTTTTAATTTTAGTGAACATTCGTTTGCGAGGAAAAGTTTTTTTGGGCACACAATAATTTATACGAGGTGTAACGGTAAAAATCGTTGATGATAGGTTAAAACTCCAGAGTGACATTCTAGTCGGACGATTACCATTCTGTACAGTAATTTTTTTAGACATTTGTCGTAAAATTTATTGAAAATTTCCCTCAGTGTACTAGCCTAAAGGTACAATGTGTCGTTTGAAAGATTTAAGCTTTTATATAGCATATTTTTATGAAGTACAAGTATTCAACATGTAATATTATAAACAAAAAAAATTTGAAGTTAAAAGAAATGTATTTTTAATTTTTTAAATTTCTCTAGCGCATCTCTTCATACGGCTTTCATGCACCAGATACTCAAAAACCAAAATTGCTTCGACCATCTACCATTAATAGACCAGTCATGATACAAAATCAGCAACAGTGCAGACTAAGTACCAATAACGTTGGTCATAAAAAGGAAAAAATGGAAAAACTCCCAAATTTTGATGTCTTTCATTATAATAAATATGTTACGAAAATATCACAGGTTTGTCACAATCATGGTATAGTATAAAATAAGTTGTAATTACCGTACATACTAGTGTGAATAACTTTTTAAACGTATTCGTAATGATCAATGAATCCACCAAAGCATACCTAGCTAATATATTACAGTGAGATGGACATAAAAGGCTAAACCTAGAAATGTTAGGACATTCTAATACATGCAAAATATCTACTTGCATTCTATAAAATGACAATAAATGTGCCAATCTTTCATTTTTATATATCATCTTAACTTTCATCGTCCATGTGTAAGTAAGTGTCTAATGGCTTTTCAAAATTTTAACTTTCAAAAAAGGTTAATTTTTGTATTTTCTTGCTTTAAATACGATTTTTTTTACTTAGAAGGTAATGTAATCAATACATTTTTGCAATAAATAATTCAGATAAAAAATAAAAAAAATTTACTATGAAAATAAAGAAATTTTTTTTAACTCTTGGACTTGCGTTAAACATAAACATATCAAGCAGCTGTATGGTAAAATTTGTCGTTTTTAGCTGAAAAATTTATAAAGTCTAAAGTAAAAATTTGAATGATTTCTCATTGTTTATCACTAAGTAAACTTGTGTAGTATTTTTGGTTTTACAAGGTTGTTTACCGTAGTATATCCAATTTCTAGTAGTGTATTTACAGCATGATATGTAACCGTGGCATTTCCCGAGAACCACGTGTAGAGCGATTTTTTCTGACGCGAACCCCGTTGGAATTAATTTTTTAGGGCAAATAACATTTAAATAGGAGCCGATTAAAAATACGTTCCAAACTACCCCTGAATGGGGTTGGAAGGCTATAGCGCGCCCGCATGAACTCGCGACGTTGCCACATTGTTATTGGAGCTTAGTCGGTAAGCAGTGAGAACTATATCCATGTGCGCACGCAAGAGCGTCAGCTACTGCTGGTAACTTGAAGGTTGGATGTAAAAATTTTTACCTTGAGGTAAATATTGTCTGCTCCTTAAGTTGTCAGTTGTTTATCCACGCGCTTACTGTCTTTCTCACTCTCATGTTGGACAAAAACATCTTTAAATTTTTATACTTAAGTAATGTTACCTCGAATGAAAGTAAAATACCATATCAGTANACTTTTGAATTGACCCTCTCAAAATCAGCCTAAGCCAATCACGTCTCGAATAAATGGTTTTAGTCAAATGACATTCTTCTTGTTAAGAAAGGAACATATTCGTATTTATCACATAAGCACTATCGCTAGAAGAGTTTTTTTTGGCCCGAGGGACGGCCCCAAGATACCGTAAGGTAGACCCGCTTAAATGGCGCATTTGTGGCTAACACTATTTTTCCTACTATATTTCAAGTGCGCAGTAGACGTCCACATGTTGCAAAAAATCCTCTGAGATAGAAAAAACTTGTTTTTTACGTGAGGAGTTTTATTTATTTTTCGACTTTTACAGCATCTTTAGTTGGGAAAATTCTCTTTGCATCTCAAGGAAAGGATTGATAGTTTAGATTACTTAAAATACTGGGGGTTTTTCTTCTGCAGAAATCGTATGGTGGCGTTCAGTACATCCTTTTGTAGCTTGCCTACTTAGTTTTTAAGGACATACGTTGACAGCGTAAAAGAGCAAACGATAAGCAGTCTCTAAGTTACCTTGAACTTACCAAACATGAGATATAAGATGTATACACATAGTATATAAGAGTAAAAAATACAAAACTATTGCTACCAAAATGTTTAGTAAACATTTAATTTGTTTTAAGTTAGGACAGTGATTGAAAATTATAAAATAGGAACGAAATATTCACTAACATCATATACTTAAGTTAATATACAATTGATAATAGGGACGGTCACCTTACTACAATTTACTTTGCTTACTGCTTCAAGCTATATATGTATATATATATATATATATACATATATAGCTTGAAGCAGTAAGCAAAGTAAATTGTAGTAAGGTGACCGTCCCTATTATCAATTGTATATTAACTTAAGTATATGATGTTAGTGAATATTTCGTTCCTATTTTATAATTTTCAATCACTGTCCTAACTTAAAACAAATTAAATGTTTACTAAACATTTTGGTAGCAATAGTTTTGTATTTTTTACTCTTATATACTATGTGTATACATCTTATATCTCATGTTTGGTAAGTTCAAGGTAACTTAGAGACTGCTTATCGTTTGCTCTTTTACGCTGTCAACGTATGTCCTTAAAAACTAAGTAGGCAAGCTACAAAAGGATGTACTGAACGCCACCATACGATTTCTGCAGAAGAAAAACCCCCAGTATTTTAAGTAATCTAAACTATCAATCCTTTCCTTGAGATGCAAAGAGAATTTTCCCAACTAAAGATGCTGTAAAAGTCGAAAAATAAATAAAACTCCTCACGTAAAAAACAAGTTTTTTCTATCTCAGAGGATTTTTTGCAACATGTGGACGTCTACTGCGCACTTGAAATATAGTAGGAAAAATAGTGTTAGCCACAAATGCGCCATTTAAGCGGGTCTACCTTACGGTATCTTGGGGCCGTCCCTCGGGCCAAAAAAAACTCTTCTAGCGATAGTGCTTATGTGATAAATACGAATATGTTCCTTTCTTAACAAGAAGAATGTCATTTGACTAAAACCATTTATTCGAGACGTGATTGGCTTAGGCTGATTTTGAGAGGGTCAATTCAAAAGTTTAGTTAAAAAAAAAAATTTTTATTTTGCATGTTGAATAAAACAAAAGATACTTGTTTATATATATATGTAATGTTGTAATTTAGGTGCAGCTTATCACAATTTTTCTCACAGTTCCTCACTTAGCCTTATTTTATTATAACATGCATCTCAGTTGGACATATATGTAATTCATGTTATCTTTAGGGCAAATACAATGATCTTGCGGACAGGTAGGTTGTAGTCTGTGATAAAAACATAAAAAGGCTTTTTTAAATAAAATTGCTTTACTGCATCGCTTGAACAAAACTGTTAGAAAATGTCAATTACAACGAAATAAATAGGAAAAAAGTTTCTTACCAGAATAATCGGACTTTTTTTTATAATATGACGAATGAAACACTTAATACTAATATTGATACGGAATTTTTTGTTTTAGGCATAAAAATAGAAAAAGAAGTATTGTTGCAAAGTAAAAAAATCATACCACCGGGCACTTGGGTTATAGTAGAAAGTCAGTGCATGTAATATAGAAATAAAATTATCTCACTGTATCATTTTTATACATATCTTCATATGAAATACATAACTATTAGTTTTTATTTTCATGCTTTAATAAGTTGGTTCTTTATTTGTTGATAATGAAAATTAAGGTTCACTTCTTATGTTTTAGAACAAACATCTAATACCTTCTGAAGCAGGAAAAGGATTTTATAATCAGGTCATACGTGACTGCTCAAATCAACAAAAACAACAGCAAGAGCCCATTATACGTTACAAGTCAGCTGATTCTACTTTTCAACGAAAAATCATTGGACCTAATAATAGTTTCAAGAAATCCAACTATGATAGTAGGTGTTCAAAAAGTTTTGAGAACTGCAATCAAAATCATGGTATTATAACAGCTTCGATGTATAGAGATCTTAAGAATGGTACTATTGGCTGGTAACAAACAGAATGAGCTACAAATTCCATAACTTTTTTGTCACATATTCATATGTATAAACACTTGTACGTGAGTTTATAAACATCAGTTTTTATAGATTCCAATTTTTCTATAACAATGAATAGTGTTTGATAAAATAAATATAACATTTCATATTAATTGTGTCTGACTTTCTGCAATACTTTCTTTCTTAGTTTATAACCTAAAGTTTTTTAAACATAGTAGCGAACGGAAATTCAAAATTACAAAAGCTTAAGAGTCAACTATTGTACTGTACAACAACATTTTTTTCGTTTTTGTCTAATATTTATTGTTAAAAAATGCACTATTATATTACTCTCGTAGTAATAAAAATAATTTTATAAAACATTTATGACAGTGTTTTTAAAAATATTTATACATATATATCATCATTGATTTTTCTAATTTAAATTGGTATCATAAAAAACTTTTTTCTTTGTACGTTTCGCTCCTAGTGATGACCATGAGTTGGATATTGAATTAACAGTGGTTTAATCAATCGATTTTTTTAATAATAATTTTATTATTTAATAAAATGTTACAGGTTTGTCACAATCAT